CTGAAGCCCGAGGGCGTCCCTGCGCCGTGCTGCGTGCCCGCCAGCTACGAGCCCGTGGTGCTCCTGCACCGGGACAGCGAGGGCCGCGTGTCGCTCACGCCCTACGACGACCTCGTGGCCAGCGACTGCCACTGCTTGTGAGCGGACCGAGACCTTCATCGACGGCCGTGCTCAGCGGAGGGGACCTCAGTCCTTGCCTGTCCAATGGAATGGGCTAGTGGGACCTGAAATAACAATTATAGCCACTGCTGTCTGCGGCCTGCCGCCAAAAACAAAGTTTTTATAAGTTGATATTTATTATTAATTTATTGGGGTGACTGGCCTGCGGACCAGAGAGCTGGGGAGGGCTGATCCAGCAGGGTGTACGTTTATTTAAACTGTAGTAATAAAAATGAATTTGTGTGACCTGGCTCCTGTGATGCGTGAGCTGGGGACCTTGGGAAGAGCCTGCCCCTCCCTGGCCTCAGTTCCCACAGGGGACCTAAGAGAGGGGTGAGTGGAAGGGGCAGTGAATGGGCAGCAGGGCGTTCTTGGAGCTGACGGGCAATTGGACGGTGCTAGTGACCCTCCAAGGGCAGCCTGGGACGTCCCTGCCTCCATGCTTGTCTAGCTCCATGTCTCTGGGTCAGTTTCCCTCTATCTCCTCATCTCTCAGGGCTCCTGTTTCTGGACGAGTTAAGATATCAGTATATTAGAGCTAAAACAGACTTAGAGCCCAGCGAGTGTGGCGCAGTGGTTGGGCATTGACCTATGAACTAGGGGGTCATGGTTCGATTCCTGGTCAGGGCACATGCCTGGGTTTCAGGCTCGACCCTGTGCAGGAGTCAGTCAATCAATGATTCTTCTCATCATTGATGTTTCTATCCCTCCCTCTTCCTCTCTGAAATCCATAAAAAAAATATTTTTAAAAAACACAGACTTAGAGACCAATTCTAACACTGCGTTTTACAGATGGGGGGAACGAGACCCGTGGAGTTAATGGCAGAGTTAGGACTTGAACTCATGCCCCCTGACGCCCCAGCCATAGTTCTGCAACTATTAGGGTGTTTACGAGTAAGAAAAAGAGGAAGGGGTGGCATTCTGGACAAAAGGAGTGGCATGGGCAAATGGCTTAGGAAAATGAAAGCTTCAGAAGGGAGTGGGTTAGGTGGAGATGAGGCCCAGACCAGAAGGGCAGAGGGATGGGAGAGGCAGCGAGGTGACAAGGCTGGGTCATACCGTCCTCAAATACCAGACTGAGGACCCAGGGACAATGGGGAGCCATAGAGGGTGTGTGAGCAGGGGAAGGACACAGTCCTGATTCATGAGTTACATAAATCCCTCTGGGGCTGGCGTGGGCTGCCCTGGGGACTGAGTCTGGGTGCCAGGTACCTGGGAGGGGACCTGAGCGGGACAGAGGGGAGGGGCTGGGGAGAAATTCAGGGGTCTCCAGAGATCTAGTCTTGAGAGCTCAGGAAGCCACTGAAAGGAACCTTCTCCCTCTGAGCCAGCGGCCCCACCAGCCCCACAGTGTTTATTGAGCACCACCTGCACACGGAGAGGAAGGTGACAATGGAGTTCACTGTGTGAACCTGCTGTGTCTGTGTTGGAGTCTCCTCTTTCCCTTCTAGCAGCCGAGGGGGCAGAAGAGCGGAGCAGGAGCTGGGCAGAGGGCTGCAAGGACAGTTCTTCCCTATCCCCGCTCCTCAGGCTGGGAGACTGAGGCCAGGGGGGGATGCCGAATGGCCCGAATCACCTGGAGTGGGGCAGGCTGGAGTTCAGGCTCAGTGCCCTGTGATCACGTACTCATCTTCGACCGCGGGAGCCTGGCCCGGGAACTGCAGGTTGCCGTAGACGGGCTGGGAGGCCTGTTGGAGGTCCTCGTAGTTCATGTAGAAGTCACTGTCCTCTGAAGGGTGAGTCCTGTGGGGACAGACAGACAGGAAGGAGGACTCAGAGGGGAGGCACATCAGCTTTGAGAGGCAAAGGCAGTTCAGTGACCCAGTCCACTCATATTACATATGAAGAAACTGAAGCCAGGGGCACTGTTCTCCCAGCGTAGCAACTTTCTCGGAGGAAAGGAAGTCAGGGTCAGTGAGTCAGGGAAGGTTCTGTGGATTCAGCACAGAATGCTGAGGTCAGAGGACTTTGGGCCATTGTAGCATTTTTTTTTTCTTCCTTAAAGTTGAGATGGTTGTCTGTTTTTTACATTAAAATCTAGCCTTCAGTTTCTTCTAGAAAAATTGGTAGCTCTGGTCACATCAGCCCCATAAACATACGTGGCTGGAGCCAGTGTCTGTCCTTATAGATAGGAAATGTGTCCATGGTCCCTGAAGCAGCAGACTTTGTGGCCACAAAAATAAGTCTCGGAGACTCCCTTTCTGCATCCATACATTAGTTGGGGAGGAGGTTGCTCCTCAGGAATGTTTAGCTATGGTAGGCAAGACCCCCCAGAGAAGAACGGTCCTTCCTTCAGAACATCTTAATCCCACCCTGGGTCCTCTTGTAACAAAGGCCACTTTGGGTAAGTGGTGTCTATCATTCATTCACGCTTTAGTATGAATTATTCCAAACACATACATGGTTGTACAGGGATGGACAGGACTGGGAGTCAGTTTGTTTCCTTCCTCTGCCTCTGACTCACTGTGTGACCTTGGGAAAGTCATTCCCTTTCCTCCCAGAGCCTATCTTTCTCATCTGTAAAATGCGGAGTGGGAATGACGCATCCAATCCTAAATGTTTTCGGAAGAGACTGGCCGTGAACCCTTAGTGACAGGGAAGCAGAGGGGAGCATCAGGGCCCAAGCTGCCTTAGCAAGTCTAGTTCCCTCAAATCCCTACCGAAGACCACTTCTGCTTTTAAGCCGTGTTTTAATCTGCTTTGCATATTTTCTCATTTCTCATCAATAGACTCCCACTGCCCGCCCCCGAATCTGGATCTCACCATCCAAACTCAGCCAGGACCCTGTTCCCTTCTTGCTTGTACCCTCCCAACCCCTTCAGCCTCAGCTCTAATGTTTTGCTGTCTCCAAACCCATTGACAGCAATTTCTCTGTTCTCTCCCACCCACTGACAGTTGTTTCCGCCGGTGCCTCCCCCTGAAATCCCACCCACTTCTCATCCAACCTGGGAAAGCTGAACCTACCTAACCCCAGCCTGATCTAGAGACCCTGGGGCTTTGTATAGGGGAGATGGACACAGATGTCTTTCTTAGCATCTCTCATGTGTCCAAGAGAGATGGAGGGAGGGCTGTCCCCATTCCACAAGACGGAAATAGTGTTCAGAGACAGCGCTGGGTCACACGAAATCTGCAGCCAGGCTGTTGACCGCTACCGCAGAGCCCCCACTCTGCTTAGAGCACTGGCCTCCTCTCTCCCTGTCCTTGGCAGCCAGAAACTGGGTTTGTAGGTCATGAAGGCAGTTTGTCCTGTCTACAGGGTCTCACTTATTCTTACCCAAACTCCATAAGGTGGGGTTGCTGTACCCAGAAGGGGAAAAACTAATTGCTCGAGATCACACAGCCTTCGAGAGGCAGAGCTGGGATTTGAACCCTGGCCATCTGGCTCCAGAGTCTAACAGGCAAATGCGTGTGGGTCACTCACCCGTGTGTGGCCGACTGGTCCTCGGCAGGTGGCTGTCCTATGAACACATTCTCATAGTCAGGTGTGGGGGGTCTGGGTAGGGTGGCTTCTGGTTGGTGAAGGCTAAGGCTCCGGCTACTGTATTTCGGCTGCCAGCCTGAGCTGGGCCTGGGACCATCTGGAGCAGCCCATGTCTTGTCCTGGCTCTGGCTCCTGGGTGACCAGCGTGACCGGAATCTCCAGGCCAGCAATGAGCCAGCTATGATGAGCCCAAGGAGCAGGCTTCCACTCGCTGCCAGTGCCCCAATGGCCGCCCAGGACAGGCCAGAGGGGCAGCTGGCCTCCAGGAAGGTGGAGAGGTTGCGCCAGGTGAAGGTGCCGGCATCCAGGCACTGCGGGGGCAGCTGGTCAGAGCAGTTGTCCTGCCGGACCTTGTGCCAGGAGGCGAGGCTGCAGCGGCAGTCAGCCTTCAAGTCAAGGGCGCAGCGTCCTGCCAGCTCCGCATCCACGCGGTCCAGAGGGTTGTTGGTCACATTCAGGATCTGCAGCTTTTCCAGGCGGGCAAAAAAGGACCCCGGGAGCTCCCGAAGGCCGTTCCCAGACAGGTCGAGGAGGAGCACGCTGCTGGCCTGCAGAGACCTGTTCCAGGGAATGTTCAGGCCTCGGCCGCTGAAGTTCAAGCAGGTGGCTGTGAACTCCGTGGCCCAGTCCACGTCCCCCGAGGACACGTTGCAGGACAATCCCAGGCTGCATGGATCCTGCAGTAGCAGCAGCAACCACAGCGCCCAGGGCAGGGCGCACCCCATTCAAGCAACCTAGACAGAGACACCAGAATCCAAGCCCAACCCCTGCCTGTGGCCGCTCTCACCCTCCACACCTGGGTTTATTGTGAGTTGGGTTTGTTTGTTTTTAATGGCTCAGAACAGCTCAGGACGCTTTTGGTAATTGGCAGCCCCTCACTTGAAGCCCCTTATTGTTTGGCTCTGGCCTCCAGCCTCAGTCTTTCCCCTCTGGGGAATGGGTACATGACCCCGGTGCCATTTCGGGCGGCTTCATTGGCCAAGACGCGACTATATGCAAATGAGCGGTGGCCCGGCAGAGGGCCGTCTCCGAAGCACCGCGGCTGGGAGTCCTGGGCTGGGGTGGGTGGGTGGGTGGATGGGTGGGGGGTGCCGAACTCTGATTTGCAGCCCCTGCACAGACCCCAGTTCTAGCCTCTGTCCTGTCTTTGCGGCCCCATTACCACGCCTTTACCTGGGCGGTGCTGGGAGATCCGGCGCAGAAGAGAGCTTGGTGGTGGATCACCTGGACCCGGGCGCACAGGAGCCACGGCACCTCTCAGATCCCTCCGGTCCCTAGCGCTCCGCGGACTCTGCACCCAGCGACGCAGGGGAAGAGGAACTGGAGTCCGGGTGGAGCGCAGAGGGCAAGAATGAAGAAGACACAGAGAAGACCCGCCCTTCTGCAAGGCCTCCAGGCCCAGGATTCTCACGGGAGGGGGAAGGGCGGCCCGCTTCCCTCTCGCTGGAGCCCAGTCAACCCCCATTAATATCCCCGCTGCGGTCCCATTACCACGCCTTCATCAACTCACTTCCTGGTCTCAGCTCAGTTGACTCTCAACCCTTGCATTCATTTATTCATTCCACAGACATCACCCAGGGCCCCAAGAGGCCTCAGCCCTGACCAGGTTCTCGAGGAACACCCAGTCCTGAGAGAGGACAGAGCTGTACACAGACACCCTAGTCCCATGCAGTCAGGACAGGGCTAGAGGGAGGGACACAGTCCTGGAAGGCTTCTTGGGGGAGGAGACATTAAAATTGGAGCTTCAACACGTGAATAGAAGTTTGCTGAGGATTCCTAAAACCTGCCTTTGACTCCCCACGCTCCTCGTCTCCCCCACAGACTCAGCACTCTTGCTGGTGTACAAAGAGTCCTCCATGTTACGGGGTTGGTGAGGAAGTTCCCTGGGTGAAGGGACATTGAGTCTGGGGCTTGGAGAATGACAGGCAGTGGCAGGCAGAAGCAAACCCATTTGCAGATTCTAGGCAGAAGGCACAGCAGGAGCAAAGACCCTTGGCCCTGGGCTCAAAGCATGGGTCCTGGGACTGTTGGTTAGCAGGGGAGTGGCTGGAGTGGACATGCTAAGAGGAGGAACTGGTAGTGTGTGTGTGTGTGTGTGTGTGTGTGTGTGTGGTGGAGGAGGAACAGAGGACAGGCCTCGAAGCAGGCTGAGGAGTGGGACTTTATTCCCATGGCCATGGGGAGCCAAAGCAGATGTGTGAGCTGGGGAGGGGCATTGTGTCAAGACTTACAACTGTAGTGAGCCTGGGGACTGGGGCGGGAATCTAGGGAGGAGACCAGTATCCCCCAGGGAGAGGTAGCCTGAATCAGACCTGAAGGATAGTAACAGTGAGATGGAGGAGGGAGTGGACAGGGCTGGGCTGGGAGGTCTCAGCTTCAGTGGGGTCCTGGCATGTCAGGCAGATTGAGTTCAATTCCATTCTAGCCCCTGACTCGCTGTGCAACCTTAACTGCTCTGTGCCTCAGTTTCCACATCTGTAAAATGGGATAAGTGCTAAGAGCCTTCCAGATTCTGGGAGGCTGCAGTACACTCCTTCTACTTTCCCCTCTCCTCAGACTCTGCTCTTCCCATTTCCATACTCAGAAGAATTCAGAGACTTTTCAGAAAGGGTTGCAAATTGTTCTTCAACACGCCCACCCAAAGTTACTCCAAATAAGAAAATGTAATCACAACTCTGAGACCGTTCATTTTCACTTATCAGATTGGCAAGAATTCAAAGGTGTGATACATCTGTGCTGGCTGGAATGTGGGGAAACAGGCAATCCCACACACTGCGGGGGGATATCCACAGTGCCGCCCCCAGGAAAGGCACCCTGGCCCAGGCCACCAGAATCGTGAACACATGTGCCCACTCACCCAGGAACCCCACCCTAGGACTCCCACAAAATATCTACGTTTGCAAAATGTCAGGGGCGTAAACTGATGAAGGTTGAACGCAACATGGTCCGTCCACACGGTGGAATATTACTCAGCCATAAAAAGGAGTGAAGCATTGACATCTACAATGTGGATAAACCTGAAAGACATGCCAAGTAAAAGAAGCCAGACACAAAAGGCCACATGTTGTATGACCTCATTTATGTGAAATGCCCAGAACAGACAAAGGCAGATCCCTAGAGACAGAAAGCACATTAGTGGCTGCCAGAGTCTGGGGGAGTGGGAAATGGCTACTAATGGGGACGAGGTCTCCTTTTGGGTGATGGAAATGTTCTGAAACTAGATAGAGGTGATGTTTGTGCAACACGAATGCACTAAAATACCACTGAATTGTTCACTTTAAAATGGTTAAAATGGCCCGGCCGGTGTGGCTCAATGGTTGAGTGTCGACCTATGAACCAGGAGGTCACTGGTTTGATTCCCGGTCAGGGCATATGCCCGGATTGTGGGCTTGATCCCCAGTGTGGGGCGTGCAGGAGGCAGCTGATCAGTGATTCTCTCATCGTTGATGTTTCTATCTCTCTCTTCCTTGCTCTTCCTCTCATAAGGGAGAGAGGAAAAGAGAGAGAAGCACTGGTTTTTAAAATATATATATATTTTTATTGATTTTAGAGAGAGGAAGGGAGAGGGACAGAGAGATAGAAACATCAATAGGCTGCCTCCTGCATGCCCCCTACTGGGGATTGAGTCTGCAACCAGGGCATTTGCCCTGATCAGAGTTGAACCGTGACTTCCTGGTTCATGGGCGGACACTCAACCACCAAGCCACACCGGCCCGGCAGAAACATTGATTTGTCGTTGCACTTATGTATGCATTCATTGGTTGATTCTTGTATGTGCTTTAACTGGGGATCGAACCCACAGCCTTGGTGTATTGGGAAGATGCTCTAATCAATGAGCTACCAGCCAGGGCTAGGGCGGCACCTGTTTAATGGGATGATCAAGGAATCCTTATTGAAAGGATAAAGGAGCTTACTGAGTAAGGAGATGGCGGAAGGACACCCAATGTGTGGAACAGCTTATGCAAAGGCCCCGGGGTGGAAGCTGCCTGGGTGAAAGCAGCTGTCTCCAAGAGAAAATATTAACTGAAAAAAGCAAATAATAATAATAATAATAATAATAATTTTCTAGATTTCATTTGCCTACAGAAACTTTGGATGAAACATGAAAAACAAATACCCATAGTTACTTTTTTTTTTAATTGATTTTTTACAGAGAGGAAGGGAGAGGAATAGAGAGTTAGAAACATCGATGAGAGAGAAACATTGACCAGCTGCCTCTTGCACACCACTTACTGGAGATGTGCCTGCAACCAAGGTACATGCCCTTGACCGGAATCGAACCTGGGACCCTTGAGTCCGCAGGCCGATGCTCTATCCACTGAGCCAAACCGGTTAGGGCCCATAGTTACCTCTTAATGGCAGGCAGTTGGGAGGGAGAAGCTCACCATGTACATTTTAATATTTTTTATTTTAGGATCCCATCACTTCATTGGAAAGCGAATCATAGTCTGCACATTCAATTAAAACATTAAAATTAGCCAGCAAGTACACACAAGACACTCAGGTTTTCAGGGCAAGAGGGGAGAGGGGTCCCACCGGGCCAGGTGCAGGTGGGCCATCTCCCACACCCCACATCCTGGAAGGAGTGGGTAGTGTCCAACACTGAGGCCTCTTAGAATAAGAGGAAATGAGCAAATGAGGAAGCAGCAGACACTCAGGCTGTGGGGGAGGGGGCAGGCAGGCCTGGGGCCTGGGAGCGTAGGTCTGGGGGAACTAGAGGTTTGGGGTCTGACATATCTGGGTGTCCTGGAGCTCGGGAGGCTTCGGTCCTGCGGCTTGGGTGTCTGGAAATGCCTCGAATTTGGGGGGTTCTGGCTTCTGGAGCGTGTCATAGGTTTAACAGGCTTGGGGTCTAGGCCTCTTGCTGTAGTCCCAGCGGGCCATGCCCAGGACTGTGGAAGGGAGGGAACTCTGGCTCCGCTGGACCCCACCCTGGCTGAGGGGAGCTGGAAGCTTCTGGAAGGCACATCTTCATACTCCCTTCCTGCCCACCTGACACACACGAGCAGGTCCTGGGCCTGAGTTCCAGGAAGGGCCAGCCCATGGAATCAGCACAGAGAGCTCCAGAGACCCTCAGAGACCTAGAGAGAGAGAGAGAGAGAGAGAGAGAGAGAGAGAGAGAGAGAGTTCCCTCAGTTCAGCTACATGAGCCCAGCAGTCTCGGATGCCCTGCACCCACCCTAGTTGGGTGAGGCCTCGGACTGGGCCCTGCCCCTAGGAGCCCCTAGACTTCCTGGCCCAGCCCCCTTCCTGGCTTCCTGCCAGCTCCATCCTCTCTGAACAGTCTTTGAAACCCCACCCCTCTCTCGGAGGCCAGTCCCCCCTAGGGGAGGGGTGGGGCAGGCTGACACAGCAGCAGCAGAGGTCATTTAGGGGGCCGGCGATCTTCAGGCGTCTGCAGGGCTCTGGAGCCAGCAAGTCAGGACAGAAGGCAGGTGTGGTGGCCAAGGGCTGGCCTGGGGCAGTGAAGCCCACAGGTTTACCTGCCACATGGGTGACCCCAGACCTCTAGGCATTCATTCAGCAAACACGGCCGGGATATGCTTGGCCACTTCCCTGCTGTGTGACCTCCGGCCAGTACCTTAACCTCCCTGTGCCTGGGCTGGCTTTCTTCTCTTAAAATGAGGACAGTCACGACCACCGTGTAGGTGGCTGTGAAAGGCTGGGAGGCAGACATGAATGTGAGCACCAGCCTGGAGCTGGGGACACACATGACCAATGCACCAGCTGAGTGTCCCATGGGCTAAAACGATAGCCCACGAACACACACAAATCTAATTCCGGAGGTAAACCTTGATTTTCAATGACGAGGAAAGACCTTATTTGAGGTCACATGGCCTTGTTGGTTATAGCAAATTTTGAGAAGCCAGTGGATACCTTTGGGAGGGGGGTGGGCAAACAAGAGGTGGCATTGAGGCGACCGTGGTCAAAAGGTGCAGGCCACCTGCCAGATGGCATTTTCCTGCTCTGGTCACCGGGGGCCATGCTGCCGGCCCACAGGCTCTGCAAGGAGCAGCCCTGAAACACAGACGGAAGGCAGTTGATTATAAACGCCCAGGCTCCTAGTCCTCCCGGTAGAGCATCTGTCTTCCCTGGGGACTCCCTGGAAACTCAGCCTCCGGGGAGCCCCTCACGACATCTTCGACATCTTCGGCTCTCGCCTCACTACGACCCGGGCTCCTGGGGCGACCTCCCAAGTAATTATGCTCTTGAATTCTGGTCATTGGGGCTGCTTCTTGGGGATCCCACATGAAGATAGGTGAAGTGCTGTAAAGGAATACTGCATGATCTCACTTACGCGTGGAGTCTGGAGGTGGATATGTACATTAAGTTGAGTGTAATGAATATCTCACACTGTATCAAACATCAAGTTGTACACCTTAATATGTACAAATTTTTCCTTTTGGTACCCTGATCAGGGTTAAACCCGCAACCTTGGCATATCAGATGATGTTCTAACCAACTGAGCTACCTAGCCAGGGCTTATATGTGGAATCTAAAAAAAACAAAATAAATTAATAAATAAAACAGAAACAGCCCTAGCCATTTGGCTTAGTGGTTACAGCATCAGCCTTGGACTGAAGGGTCACGGGTTTGATTCCGGTCAAAGGCACGTGCCTCAGTTGCAGGCTCGATCCCCAGGCTTGGTCAGGGTGCGTGTACGCGGCAACCAATGTGTCTCTCTCATATAGATGTTTCTGTCTCTCTATGTCTCTCTCATCCCTTCCATTCTCTCTAAAAAAAAGTGGAAAAAATATCGTCAGGTGAGGATTAACAAAAAACAAACAACCAGAAACAGAACTATAGATAGAGAGAACAACTTGATGGTTGTTAAAGGGGAGGGAGTGAGGGGGGAAGGGAATTAAAAAATTAACAATAGTCATTTATCTCATGATTTAAAAAAGGAATGCTATACAGCAGTTAGATATTTTTAAAAACATTTTGTTTACTATGTATAAATATATAAGTATTAACATGGAAATATATCATCAAATATTTATAAATGTTTATTATAATATATAATTATTATATTTAATTATAAGTAGCGGCACCCATGCACTGGCTACTTAATTAGTATTCAGTTGTATAATCTTCACAATAGTCCCTTGAAATTGGAACTATCATTGCGCCCATTTAACAGCAGGGAAAACTGAGGCACAGTGTGTTTGAGTAGCTTGCCCAGGGCCCTACAGTTGCTGAGGGGCAGCCCTGAATCCGTGTGTTGACCATGAGGCTGCATTTGTCTGTGTCCACCTGGAAGGTGTGCAGAGTCATTGCATAACACACATGGCGCTTGTGGATGCACAGGTGGTAGCGGCTGCCTGGGGGTGGGGACTAATAAGGCTATTTAGCTTTATCGGCTAGGTTTGATTCATTTTATTTTTGGCAAGTTTTGTTCGTTTCACAAATATTAACTGAGCGCCTACTGGAAGCATGCAGCAAGACTCCTGCCCTTGGGGAGCTGACATTCCGGTGAGGGAGATGATGAAACTATAAACTGACAAATTCAAAGGAGGTTGGAAAACAGCGTTATTGCGCCCGGCCAGGGTAGCTCAGTGGTTGAGTGTAGACCTATGAACCAGGAGGTCATGATTCGATTCCTGGTCAGGGCATATGCTCAGGTTGCGGTTGCAGGCTAGATCCCCAGAGGGGGGCGTGCAAGAGGCAGCGGATCAATGATTCTCTCCCATCATTGATGCTTCTATCTCTCTTCCTCTCCCTTCCTCTCTGTAATCAATTTTAAGAAAATAGCGCTGTTGAGGAAAAAAAAAAAAAAATGACTGTGGGGTATTCTGACAACTAGATGGGGCTATTGACAGTTTTGAGGGTTTAGTCAAGGAAGGCCTCTTGAGAAAAAAGATAGGACAAAAAAGGAAAAACAAAACAAAAAGATTGGAGGAAAGAGCTCAAAATGAGAATGAGGGTGTGGTTTTTTTGGAGGGGGGAGAACTGGGTGATTTTTGAAGTATTTTTTTCTGCTATGAGATTATTCAACTCCTTCATATGTAAACGTTAGTTGGAAGCCCACTTGGAGGCATAGGTGAAATCAGAGAAACCTACTGGGTTCCAAGCCTGAAACTCGGGATCTCAAGAGCTGCTCCAAAGGGGCGCCAGGGACCCTCAGAAATTGGACCTGCGAGTCTCTGCTGTCCTCGTGTGGTCAAGCTAGGGATTGCAGGCGCGGGTGGCCTTGGCAGAAGTGGAAAATTGGTTCCTCCCCCTTCTGACCCCCACACCCCACCTCAGCCACAAGCAGGTTGTGACAATCTGTGTGGCCCTTAGGCTGAGATCTCTGAGGACACTGGAGGCCTCAGACCTCAGCACAGAGGAGGCATTTGTAATTTTTAGTCCAGCAACAGGTATTTATTGAGTGCCCACCTACTGTGTGCCAAGACTTGTTCTCAGGGCTAGGGATACAGCATGAAACAAAACATTAGAATTCTCTGCTCATGAAACTCATGAATTACTGGGGACATGAGCAATCAACGTGCAAAAACAAAATTTTCAGGAAAATCCAACAGAGCAATGTGACCCAGGACATTGGAGGGGCTCTCTGAGGAGACATCCCTGGATCTGAGGCCTGAATGAGAAGCCAAACAGGGGGAGGGGAAGGGTGTCCCAGACAGGGAAAACAGCCTGTGCAAAGGCCCTGGGGTGGGAATGAGCTGGGTGCAGGCAACAGGATCATGGGCAAAAAATGCCTAGTTTCTGGTGCTTAGGGAGCATCTACTCCCCACTCCTGTTAAGATGGGGGACCTTGGACGGGGCAGAAAAAATTTGTCCCCGTGTACCACACAGAGTGAGAATGCAACCTTAGGGTGCCATGGAAATGCTTTCCTCCACCACAAGAGAGGCCTGGGCTCTGGAGAGAGAAGGGGGGGCACTGCCACCACACCCCAAAGTGGACCTGGTACCTCCACTCTCTGCTATGCATCTTGGGGCAAGTTGCTTCCCTGCTCTGAGCCAATTTTATCTGCAGAACTTTGTCAACAGCGGCTATAGACTCCCCCACCGCCATCTCTCCCTTCCCTGCCCCTCCCCCCAGGCCTGAGGTTCTCACAAAAATGCCTCCAATATCCCAGAGTGAGTGTCCCAGACCTAGGCAGGGAGCTGGGGGCACTTCAGTGGGTGGAGTGCTGCCCACATGACTCCCCTGGTGCCTGTCCGAGCCTCAGTTTCCCCATCTGTAACATGGGAAAGAGAAACACTGCCTCTCTCATGAGGTGCTGGGTGCACAGGCTCCTAATGATTGGTTTGACTCTAAAGTTCAAAGGGGGGGCAGGTACAGTGGGCCTTGACATACGAGTTTAATTCCTTCCGAGACCGAGCTCGTTAAGGAGCTCGTTAATTCAAATTACTCTATCAACTCAATGCAAAAAATCGGCTGAGAGACAGCTGGTATCTCAAAAAACTCGTTAGTCGGGACACTCGTAAGTCAAGGCCCCACTGTACTTAAATTTGTGGGCAGTGGGAAAATCCCAGAAGGTGCTGGGAGCAGGGCAGTGGGCTGGCGGGGCTGAGGTTCAGTCAGCTCTTGCTCAAGTCCACACAGCAGAACAGGGCACAGCCAGGGTTCAAACCCAGGCCCAGATCCTCCACTGGGGACTTCTGCCTCCAGGTGACCAGTCTTGGGGTGTAACTTGTAACCTGAGACTCCAAGTAGTTGCTGGTTTCCAAGAAGTCTATGCTGTCTGAACAACCCTTCGCCTGTGCCCCTCCGCCCCTCCACCAGCACCCCTGGCTGGGGGCCCTGCTCCCACTCTGTCGAGGCTGGAACCCCTACCCAACGCCTCAGCACCCTCACCCACCACCCATAGTCACCAGCTGCTGTGGCTTCTTCCTTCCTGGTGTTTGGGTTTTAATTTTTGTGTTGCAGTTAGAAAATTACCCATAATTACAGCTCTGAAAGGAAATGTCTCCTGGTGCAGACCCTGCTCCCAGCTGTGGCCCCCTCCATCGCAGGGCTGAGGAGGGCCGCCAGCCCGGATCCTGGCCCCTTCCAAAGCCTCCCACTGTAATGAAAAGGGGGCTGCTCCCGTCTCCTGTGGAGAGAAAAAACCATTATCAGGAAAACCCCAAATCAGCCTCTTCTACGACTTTTGCAACATATTCACAGCCAGACATCTGGGTCCGCAGGGAGGGCCCATCCTGAGAGAGAGGCAGAGCTGCAAACAGACTACTCGAGGCATTATTTTATCAACAGTGACAAGTCCCATACAGGCTAGTGTAGAACCAGTAATATGGAGGATGTGGCCAGGGAAGGGGAGGAGGGGGAAGGGGGCAGCAGAGGGGGAAGGGGACAGAGGAGGAACTGCTGGGACCAAAGGCCAGAGGAAGAGCCAGAATAGGCCAGGCCTGGAGCCAGAGAGAGTTCCTGGCGGCAGGAGCAGCCAGTCCAAGGCCTAGGAGGTGGGCCCTCGAAGGGTCTGAGAATGGAAGGGCTGGAAGGAAGTGAACAGGGGGAGGGAAGGCCCCTCTTCCAGGCAGCCCCCATACCTCAAAACAGAACCTGCTTCGCCCCCCTCCCCCCAGGCACTGCCCCGACCCTCCGCGGTGGGGTATGGGGGGGTCGTTGGTGGTCCCTAGAGACGGAGCTGCAGTCCCCGCACTCAGCCACACACGGGTGGGCCCTAGACTGCGAAGGGGTCGCAAGTCTGGGATCCAGTCTTGACCCTTCACCTCCTTGCTGACAACCCCACTCCTGGGCCCCTTGACCAGGCCCATGGCCCCGGTCTACCTAGGCCTCTTCCAGGGGCAACCTCCCTGCTTCCTTCGAGCCCTCCCGATCTACCTCTACCGCTCAGCCTCAGTAGCTTCTTAAAACCCCGCCCCTAGGTGCTCCACAGCTTCCTGTGGCTTCCTATTTCTTTTAGAACAAACCCCAACCCCTCCGGCTCCTCTGCACTCCCCGCCATCACTCCCCTGCTCCAGCTAAGCTACGCAGCCCTCCTCGCTCTGCCTCCCACCCCTGAACTCCGTGCCCACCTCAGGGCATTTGCACTTGCTGTGACTGCAGTGTGAACATTCTGCTTCCAGATCGTTCCAATCCACTTCCACCCTTATTTAAAAATGTTT